AAATCAGTAATCATCTACTATAACGAATAATTCGTTAACACTATAACGAATTATTCGTTATACATTCTGCATAATTCATTATAGCGTTAACGAAGATTCTTATAATGAAGTCCTGATCGGCTGGATTGGAAACTTCGTTATATCGAGGTGTGACTGTATAGTAATAATTAATATATTAACTTTGTTATACTTAGCTTAATTATATTATCTAATTTATCTTTCATTATTTATATAATTTATATTATTAGTATTATTTATAATTATAAGAAAGTGTAGTTAAGTATTAGTTAAGAATTTATAGAAATAGATCTGTAAGTTAATTTTAAGCTGACAAAATATTTAGATAAAATTCTGAAAAATTCTTAAATTTGACTTATATCTTTACAGATTAATAAAGATACTATTTTATACTTTTAACCTTTTTCTTTCTTTAAATAAGAATTTAATTATAATATTATATTAGTGAATTATAATAAATCATTTAAAAGGTTTAAAATCAAATTTGAACATAGTAAATTATATGATCTGTAACATAATTTTAATAGCAAACCTCTTATTAGTTAATCATAATTTCTCTTAAAAAAGATCTTTGAATTAAGATATTTTATTTGTTAGTTTAGTTTCAGTATAATTTAAAGTCTAATAGCAGTTATTTGAAAGATTAAATAATAATTATTATAATAAAAAATTTAACTAATATATGAAAATTATAATTTATTAACTTATTTAAATAATATATATTTACTCAAATATTTAATTATATTGAATAATGACGATGTATAAATTGTTATCATTCTAACTGAACCATTTAAAATTGCGCATATTTACTTAAATAATTTCAACTATCTATTTATGTTTGATTATTGTTTTGTTAATACAAACATTTAAAGAATTAATATTTCATGAATTTAAGATAGGAAATGCTTACAGTTTTTCTTAAATAAAGACCACTACATTAAAATCATATTTTGCGTAATTGATATCTTTCTAAAAAAAGCAGTCAACCATAAATATATATATATTACTAATAGCCACAAAGAAAATACAGTTCCTTGATCCTAATAAGAAAATTAATAATCTACTTACTGATCCTGTTTTATCTAACTATGGAGGTTGAAATTGCAAAATCTTAAGGCTTAGATGTGACAAAAGGATTGCACAAAATATAACAAGCATAAACGATAATAAAAATATTTATTTGATATGATGAAAGAAAAAGAACGCCATCACTAAGGAAAATATTAAATAAATTAATATAGAGACTGGATTACGTCTTTTAATAGGCAGTACAATGGAAGTTAGAATCAAATATATGGTCTATAGTAAAGTTTGCTGATTATAAGAAAGTTAAGGTGGAAAAAGCAGACTACGCTGATTGGAAAAAGAATCTATTTTGCAATTAGAAAATGTTTTAATAAGTGTAATATGTTACTCTAATACAGATGTCAGAAAGGAAGCATAAGATAAGCAGAAGCTTGATTTAACCGTATTGTCAATTTTATGCTATGCGTGCCTTAAGATCTGTTCAATATTACTTTGAAGGTTACCTAACATAATAGGTGAATGCTGCCTTGACATGTATTAACCAATTCTCTAATAAAATGTTTATGATTTGAACTGGTAATCTCCGAAAGTGTGGCCTCTGTAGCAACTAATTTATCACGCAAATTCCATATTCCATTGCTTGGAACAAAAGCAGCATTACGAGAAGAAGGATGATATCGTATTTTTAGAGTAGATAAAATGCTGGCTGAAACTACAACCATTTCTTCTTCATACACTCGTTTTTCGATAACTAAGAATATCTAAACATAGTCCAATTTTATTTGCACGACATGAGGTGGTTATCAAGTAAACTTCGTCATATCCGCTGTCTACCTTTCGTTCAATTTGCGAATATAACGTGGTCCTAATAAACGGATTTATGATTAGAATACTTTTTTTAAAAAAAAAAAAATTTGCATATTTTGAGTACCTCAACTACTTCACAACTGTACTTCTAATGGTAAAACTGTTTCCTTTCGGACGACAACACAAGGAAGAAATGGATATCATAGAAGTTTGTTGTACGTATTTCGAAAGTATCTATCTTATCATCAAATTTAATATTTGACGAGGCCTGGAACCATCTCCATGATGTATAATGCGAATCTTTATATTCTTTCAAGTTTAACAGATCTTTCTTGAATTCCTACTTTTAGATCATAATAAATATTAAGTCCGAGCATCTAAGTACTAAATCACAACTTTCATCAAAAGCGGTGGCGCTTACATCAACATTTATATCATATTTAGGTGTAGGCAAATTGGATTTATGCCAAATTTCAACACCACCAAATCAAACTTGCGAGATTGATTAGTATAAAATGATCTCCAAATTGCTTAGCAATTCAAAATGGTCGGTGAACTAATTCCTAATTAAAGTTAAAAAAACAAAATTTGATTAATTATACAAAATTTGTAATCAATATTTCTAACAATTATAAACAATTAACCTGTTAAAATCTTTGATGTTTAGTTCATTTTCCATCGAGGAATCTATGAAGTTCTTCCTAAGAATTCGTTTAGTAGTGTTGAAAAACCAGCATACTCTGGAAGACATATATCAAAAGTGGCTGGATCGCAAAAGCCAACGGTCTAGCAGCAAAATATTTTCCTACAATCTTCGAATACGGTGTTATGCCAATACCATCAGCATTTAAAGCTTTAAAATTCAGAATAAATTCTTCTGTTCAAAGTCAAGAACTTCAAGTGTGAATATAGCTTCATATTGGTGGATATTTGTGTCGGTTACTCAAAAAAAGTTGACCTTAAATTTTATAGGACGGCCTGAACGACCAAAGCCAGTACGTTCTATCATTTTTAAAGACCTGTTTAGTGATTAAGCAACCATTCCTTGAGCAACTCGTCATAAAGTGATAATGATAGATTTCATTCACGTTGGCAGTGCGCTTGTTAGCAAATATTAACATAAAATATTACATGGGAGTACGACTTAAACATTCTCCATCTCGCTGTACCAATATTTTCATTCGACTAATAACTATGTCTCTCTAAAAAAAAAAAAAAAGTCTTTATTTATGCGGTAAGCTAGTTGATTCGAAACGTTGAAAACCTTTCAAACTATAAAGCCGGTGAAGCCGTGATCCGTGACTGCGCTAAAAATAAGTCATGTGATCTAAATGATCGACATAGTTGACGAAGTTGACAAAGTTGCTAAAGTTGT